ACATTGTCAAAATACATGTCGACACCTTCTGGTGCTGCTTCTTTCAATGCATTCAGGATGTTCTTGGTCTTATAGTTGAAGGCATAGTCAAACTTCAGAGTATTTTTAAGCCAATTTACTTTGGAATCTGACCCTGCAAACCCTATTACTTTGCATCCTAGGAATCGAAGAGAAATAAAACACATTATATTCAACCGCGTAAACAAGCATTACACTTCTTGTTATTGTCCTCCCTAAATGACGGACCATATTTCAATAACAATGCAATTTCTGGGTCTGGAATACTGTACCTTTGACTTTTGCAATCTGCCCCACCAGTGAACCAACAGCTCCGGCGGCCGCGGTGATCACCAAAGTCTCTCCTGCCTTTGGTTTGCAGATTTCCAAGAAGCCGAAGTAGGCCGTTTGTCTGAAAGCACAATTTGAGCTCTAGTGACTATTTGGCTAGATTACGGTTAGACTTGAAATAATAGGTAAAATTGTATGGTTTAGTATGCGAACAAACAAACACCTTACCCTGGCATACCCAGGACACCTAAATTGTAAGACAATGGCAGATCTGGGTGTCTCACTTTCGTGACGTCACCCCAGGTGAAATTTCGGTCACCTTTGGTTTCATCGATGTTGATAATAGTACGAGTGGACCAGCCGAGGTAACCAACAACTTGATCACCAGTTTTGAAGTCCTTGTGCTTCGACTGGAGAACTCTGAAAGTTTGATTGGAACATTACGAGCCGTCTACTTTCACTATTTCATATAATAACCAATAATTTTTACGATGGGAATTTGAACAAAGGTTAAAATTTACAAAATCTGCAAAGGATCACAAACTTTCGATCTTCGATCTGTTTTACTTAACAGCGACGTAGACGCACCTTGCAACTTGACCACCAATCATCCTCGTACCAGGAGGATAGTTGTCCATGTAGGTCCTGCAATGCAATAACACTGTTAGAGAATCTTAAGAAAGTAGCACTGTAAAAAATACCGTCGTAAATTTACAAATAATTGTGAACTCGAATTATTATTTAAGTTGTAAATTTACGAGAGCACATTTACTACTCGCCAATGGATTAAGTCGATACGTACAGCATGTATCTTTACGATTTCAAATGTAATTTTACAACTTGCCTCAAGGAAAGTTTTCCTGTAACCCTTCCTACTATTTTCTACAGTGAGTATTGATTTCCAATAGAGTCTTCCTACTTGCCTTACGTAAGGATCCACGGTAATCCATTCTGCTTCCACAAGGATTTCTAAAACAGGCAAAACATGATGTTACAACTCGCAATTTAAATGTACTGTAAATGTACCTTTTCGCACACGTGTGCGCATCTACGCGTGCGTTTTACTCGTTCTTTTCTTTACCTCCCGACACTACTTCTCGGAGGTAGAGAACGAGTATACCCTCCTTTTGCATTAAATAATTTACCGGTTTTTCATTCTACTTGTTTATGTTCTCGCCATTACTCGCTCTTATTCACACAGCCGGGCCAAATCTAGCTTTACAATTTTTAAAATCGGTGGGTGTCGAGATTGTTCTTAGGTGGCTGACTGATTAACCCCGGCCATTTCTGTAGTTATGTTGGGCTTGCCTATCGCCCCTTACAGCCTTACAGGCCGAGTGAATAGAGCATCCACCCGCACTCGTGCGTGCGGTACAGCATAACTACGAAGTGAGCAGGGTTCATCAGCAACATGGTATAGGTCCAAGTCTATCTGGATGCTTAAAAAGTGCTTTCAGACTTCATTAAAACTGTAAACACACTTACCTCCGTTCTTAAGCTCCCCTAGTCGTTCCTCCTTGACTTGAAAATCACTGTTCTTTGGCTCGCCTACGAACCTCTTGGCCATGTAAATCACTTTGGAGTCGAGCGCCATGTCTACTTGGTGCAGGCTGCAGGCAGGCAGGTGCGCTTCTGACGCTAGAGGAGTGGCAATGCTGAGGTGTTAGTCACACTGCGCAGACGCTGCCGGTGACATACTGTTGACACTGCTTCAGCTTGGCTCCTATATACTCATTTGGGTCTGGTCACCTGTGGTCACTACTAAGGCCTGACTCAGCAAATCCACCTTATCTGACGCAGCAAATCCGGGCACTACTTTGAAATGTGACCTCACCTTCTCAAACTTCGACTTGTGACTCGACAGAAACCTTCTCCCAAGCCTATACTAACAGCCTGGTAATCGCTTCTGGCTTACACCTCACGAGTGAACTGAAATGTAATGAGTTTTATCATAAGCAGAAATGCCGGTCGATGGGAAAAGAGATAACGTACGCATTATGGCGATCTCGATGAGCTAAATTTCGCGTGAAAACTTCACATTCCCAAATTGGTGTCGTTGTTGGAACCAAATATCTATGAGTTGTGATAAGAAGCAATCAGGCCGAGGAGAACCTCACTTTCAAAATGATGTACAGCGATTTAAGTCACATTTGATTGAAAATGATTGTGGGTGATTGTAAATGATTCAGGATGATTTAATCTATTGTAATTATTCTACATTAAGTGATTGGTGATCATATGATTGATTGTCAGTGTTTAAAGCATGATTGTGTGTGATTGTTAGTAGTTCGAGAGAGATTCAAGGAAGATTGAGATAATTTAAGAATAATTGTGGTCGATTGACGTTGATTTAAAACGATTTAGATGATTGCTGTACGCCGGATACGAGATTCAGTCGTAGAAATAAAACGTATGACAGAGATATCTGAGATACCGAATTATTTGGAATTATTCATGATTTGATCGCGATGATTTAAGTGATTCTTGGTTTTTGTAATGATTCAACGACAGATTGTGATGAGTTAACGAATGATTTCAGTTCATTGCTGCGATTCAATGTTGATTGTAGCAGGTGATTCTTTCGATTCAACATTGATTGTTAATGATTGTTACGATTTAAAAAGAAAAAACTTGTAATTGATTTTAGAGATTTTAAAGATTGTTTTAATTCTTAGGGATTTAAGTTGCGATTGTTAGTGATTCAAATTAGATTTTTTTTCAAAATGTACAGCAATTGCTTGAAGTGAGGTACCCCTCGAATCACGCCCTTCTGCCAAACGGAGTTGCAAGCTTCACTTCACGGGCCTCGCGCCAGTCCATCGAACCCAAGGTGTGAAGTGCAATTCTGACACTGAAGTGCTAATAGCTTGTCGCCCAGCGGACCAACGTTCTCTAGCACTGTCAGCGTAGTGTGTGTTATCAAGATGGCCTTCACGGAAAAAAGGGTTAACCGTAGCGACCAGAATCGCTTCGTCGAGTGCAAGTTGATTGCTTGTGACGGGCATGTTGGTTCTAAGAGCTGAGTTTGCGGTAGCTTGCCCTAGTACAACTCGCTTTGTAGACCAGACCATGGCTGATTCCTACTACTAAGTCAGCTCGCACAGAGAAGTTGGCTGCTTAAACCGAACTGAGTCGATCATCACGATCTACTCGCCTCTCAGAAACCAGATTTGACGAACTCTGTTAGAAAAACACACTGTAAAGCCCTGCGGTCTGCGCTGTAAATTTGTTGCCTGGTCCGGAACCGTAATTTTTGGTTACGGTCCGTGTCATACCGGACAGACCGTTACTTGAAAAAATTGTAGGGAGTCGAATACAGCTCTTAGCCAAAACAAGAAAGTACAGTTCATACTGTTACGGCCTGACCGTGTAAGCTGAAACTACGGTACGGACCGTAGGCAAACTGTAACTGCCTACGGTATTTTTTTCAGTGGAAGTGGCTCGTTCCACATCCCCCCTCCTAGTCGCCGCTAGTCGCAGTGGTCTCCGTGTCTGGCAGCCGGATAGTAAGCGGAGGTTCGATTCAAACGAACCAGGCCGAGGGGGCAATAACTCCCTTTCGATATGTACATATTCCCGAAATACTTGATGCCCAGTGATTCCCGTCCGCTTATATTTATTCTATAGGTAGAAAACGCCCACTTCGACTACTTTCCACCAGTTCCACTAGTTTTCCGCTTAATTTTAGCGATTTAGGTTGATTTGGATCATTTTTAACCCGAAGATTCCCAGGCAGATGTACACATAATTCCCGAAGTTTTTACACCCTTTTCCTGTTTTTGTTCTAATCTTCCCGTCCCCGTTACCATACGCTCCGAGTTGTCACGCTCAAGCATTAGTATCGTGAAAGTTCTCACGACTATGGCTTCAGAGCAGTACTAATGGAGAGGGTGCTGTGCCGCTCGGGACCCCCGCCCCGCCGCACTGTCCACGGTTCTGTTGCGGGCCTATGCGCGCGATCGCCACAAATTTGGCACCGACGGACTCAGCAAGGTGCAGGCCAACTGACTCACTTGTTCAAATTGAACACAAC